GCTTGTAACGGTTCGTCACACATAGGTCCTCATAGGAACCCTCGTCGACGGCTTCGCGCTCTACGAATTTCTTTACCAACTCAAAGGTCTGGAACATCAAGGATCTTCCACGACAAGCGCCATCGCCGTCTGGGCTCTATACCTATTGCAGTTTTGAGCATTGTATTACTATGTGCAATATTGAGTACAGGGAGGGGACTTGGCGTGTCCCAAGTCTTTTCACGACTTCTTTATTTCTTCTATTTCTACTTTTGTATCGGGTAGGTGCAACTTCCTCTTTCTCCTTCCCGCTTCTGGCGACTACTGCCCTGGCTACCTTTGACTGACGGCGACCGACTGGGCGGGTGCGGTGGTTGAACAGATTCTGCCGTACTTACTGTCCACTTATTAATTGGGCGTGGGCTAAGGACGAACGAAAACGTCAAATGAAGGCTACAAAGGCGTGATATCTTGCAACCCCCCAGAGCGGACCTTTTTGTACAGCGAGCGGCGAGATCTGGAGCAACGATGGCGGAGGGATACGCAAACAAAGATGTTAGAACATTGCATTTGGAGAATATCACACGGTACGCCTATTCTCAACCTCATCTTTGAGTCCCCCAAATAACACGATGCGGCAGCATTCCGCGGGAGCAACTGCTCAGGATCTGGCTATTATCCTCACTAGGGAGACTCACGTTGCATGCCGATCTAGCCGGGCCGTTACATTCCCTGTCTCACCAGCCATGCTTTCTGTACAAAAAACCCAATAGCTCGGTTCTTGGCTCTTGCAATTGGTTCGCATTGGATTCCTTGTAGAGTTACCTTTTCCTGCTCTTCTCGCGGGGAAGTGGCTCAGCGGCACGGCCCATCGGTCCTCGACAGTGTTGCACGCAACACCGAGTCGACAACTCCGCCTGGGTCAAAAGCACGGCCATCACCAAGCAAGCAAGACGGGAATACCCTCACCTCACTTGGAGCACTAGCGGGTTATATGAGGAGACCAATTTCGACCTCAACACCATTTGTCTCCCTTCATCTAAACGCATCACACCTCACGACCAGACCGTCACCATCCACTCTCCAATCCCCAAGTCAACAAAATGGTCACTCAAGTGCAGCATCCAGACTACAACCAAAACGGTCTACACTGGTCCAAGTCCGCCGACCCCCATTGGCAACTCTACGCCTCCATGTCCAAGGATTCACTCGCCAGCCCGTCTGTGACAAGGGCAGTATTCTGGGCTTGGAACAGTAGTTCAATTCAGCTGATAAACTACTTTGGTCTCGAAGGCCTTGTTGAATCCTTTCAAGCCTTTCCATCCAGGCTGGGGTTCCCGACCTTCTTATGCCAAAGCCTTCCTTCCTTCTGCTGGCCTGATCTGGGTCATGAGGCCATAAGGCATCTACGTCGGAATGCCAGCTGGCTGAGGTCTGCGGTCTGGGTTGCTGGTATCTGTCTCTGTCTGGCGGCACTTTGTCGGAAGGAGCGGTAGAACCCACGCGAGGGATAGTTGAGTAAGGTACCGTCTTACCTCCGGAGCCCTCCGCTGCAATGCCATGCATCTGATTGATGTTTTAGGCCAGGGCAAGGTTGAACAGGGGAGTCAAGAAAGGAAGGCTTCTAGAAGAACGCTTGCTGAGATCTCTGTAAACGGGCGAAGACATTCGCAGATAACAGAGTGGAAAACAAGCTCTCGCCAAGCTACGATTAGGCTACCGACTAAAAGAGTAAAGTGAGCCTGTTAGCGTTCTGTAAGAACATCTGGGCAATGCAAGGGTCTTCACGTGTCAACTCTAATGGCTTGATCATGAATGCTGGAGGAGATATGGATGGGAAAAGAAGGGGAATAAGACCAGAGTCAAGCCAGGGCTCTTGCAATCTTTAGATCCCTTGTGCCGTCGCCATTAAATCCAACGAACCTGGCAGACAGGAGGCATCAAGCAACACCACGACACCTACCATCACCAAAGCGATGGACACAACCACCAGTTCCATCTCCCCCAACGCGGTCTTTCACCGGCCTATCCAACCCAACAATATGCCACCACCACCACCACCACCAGAACAGCCCCAACCAGGCCACCCCAACAAGTCAAACCAAGCAGTACCAGCATCACCACGCTCGTGCCCTTAGAGGTAGACATCGAAGACCAGGACCAGGATCTCGTCGGCTTCAACCGCACCGACAACAACCACCGACACGGTCGCAACCGCAATAAACAGCACGAGTCCGGCCTCAAAGCCCTACGCAATTACCTCTTCGTCGTCATCCTCCGCATTCTGCTAACCCTCTTATCCCTGTCTGTTCTGGCTTACGTCGCTTGGCTATCGAAGCAATGGGTGGAGGAAAAAAGGGCGGCGGATGACGATGATAGTTACGTGCTTGGTTTTGTTGGTGTAAGTTTCCATTTGCCACTCTCTCTTTCTGTTATCCCCTACGCGGCGTTGTCGTGGAAGAGATTATTGGCAAGGATGGAAGTTGTCGTGCAGATCAATTGCTAACGGGCATGTTGGTGAAGCCCAGCGTAGTAACAGGCATCGACCTCTTGATAATCATCTTGTTGATAATGATGGGCCGTGGAAAGACGCGGAGGCGGTGGCTGCTTGGTTGTGTGTGACTGTTGCGTAAGTCGATCATCTTTTTTTGGCTTTCTTCCGTTGTTGTTACATGTATCGGCGCTCGGCGCCGAGGGGGGGGAGAGGAAGGGGAGAGGAAGGGGAGAGAAAGACCAAGTTGCTGACGGATGATTGCCGTGGATTAGGACTGCGCATTTCATAAACATGGTTGCGAACTGCTTCAAGGCTTGTGCGGAATCTTGCAGGGGAAGAAGAGGGGGGTGAAGGAGATGTGTTGAGCGGACTATTCGCTAATTGGTAAAAGAAAGAATGAAATATGGATCGGGAGATAATGTCCCAGGAATGGAAGTCATAGTGAATAATACCCCGAAGCTTGGTGGAAGAAGTGTCTTCCCAAGGGCAAGAAGGGTGGGAGAATGCTTCAGGAAGTCTAGGTGCGAGGGTTACATGTACCGTGACGTGGAAGATGGAAGACGGATGCCTCCCGGCCTCCGGGCGCTAGGATATATTTCGATATGAAGCGATGCAGAACAAAATTATGGAAGAGGATGGAGTGGTCTGGATGCTCGATGAATGACGATTGATGCTTTTAACAAATGACCGGATTGGTGGCTGATAGTACGGTGCTGGTCGATGGGGATTGGGCACACTCAAAGATGGTTGGTGGCCCATGTCCCGCATGTACCTGCTAGTGTAACACCTACTCTAGCTTTGCCTCCGTAACCCTCACCATCAAGTCGTCCAACTCCGGGGTGCAGAAGCACCTGATTCTACAGGGATTCATTGGATCAACAATCTGCAAATCAAAGTTCCTCATGAACTGCCTTCTTGTTAGCTTGTTTTCCGCAAATGAGAAAGTACGTAGTAGGGCACTCACCTCAACAGTAACTTTTTGCAACTGCAACCAAGCCAGCTTCTGACCCAAGCACTTCCACTTCCCATGGGAGAAGGCCAAATCTGTCGTCTTGAACAACCGATCCCTGTGCTCTTTGGTACCCTCCAGGTACCTTTCCGGTCTGAACATGTGCGCATCCTCGCCAAACACGCTCTTATCCTTCAGCATGCCCACATAGTCGACAAAGATATCTGTGCCTCCGGGAATGAACCGGCCGCAGATAGTGTCTCCCTCAGGAGGCACCTGACGGGGGAAGCCATTCATGACGGGAGGGACCATGCGGATGCCTTCGTTTAGGACGGCTTGGAGATACGGCAACTGGCGGGCTTCCTTGTCCGTAATGGGAGAGGAGATGCGGCCTTCGCGGATGCCGGTGGCTATCTCGGACTTGAGGCGAGAGTAGGCGGTGGGGTTGGAGAGGAGGTAGAGCATGGTACCTTGAAGGGCGGTGGCGGTGGTGTCGGAGCCGGCGGGGAGCTGGGCGGAGACTTCGAGTGCAGCCATTCTTTGTGAGATGCCGTTCTTGACCCATTCATCCTGCGGGTGAGGTGTCAGCGGAAGGACGCCAAAAAGGAGGAAGTCAGCGAGGTGTGTTTGCGACTTACAAGCATGCATGAACGGCCAGTGTCGGACTTGATGGGCTCACCCTTTGCTTCACCATTTTTGTAGCGTTTCGCGACCTCCCGCTCAATGAGACTAGAAAGAATTAGCGATGAACATGTCGTCGTTGAGGTAACTTTGGCAACATGTTGACCTACCCAAGGAATTGACCCATACCAGTGTTGTCTGTTGGCTTCGGACCAAACAAGATCATCACGGGCTTCGATGCCACGATCTTGCTGAGCGCGGGGATATAAGCAAATGTGTGCAAATACCGGAACATTTGATCCACGAAGGCGAGCCAGCCGTAGTGATCCTTCTCTTCGCGGACATCGCCCCAAGCTTTGCCGAAACCGGTTTGCGTGACTGAGTCAACGGCGATGAGTCGAGCGGTGCGGCAATAGTCCAAGGGAGGCTTGGGTCCAGAAGTGGCAGAGTGCATGTACTTGGTGCGAATAAGCTCAACCGCATCGGACACGACCATGTTCACATCCTTCTCCATGTCCATTTCGCCCCTACCATTGTAGCCTCCGTAAATTTTTGTTTTGCGGTCGTTGTGGACAGCTGAGTCGGTCTCTGAGAGGACTGTGTGATCCCACGGGTCCATTCGAATGCAGTCGTAAAAGTCCTTTGGCCGATGGTAACCCCCACGTACGCCATTGATGTTGACAACGGTAGCAGGATCACGGACCATGAGAGCGTTGGGCCCGATGCGAGTAATTGGGCCGTGCTTCTCTTGAGCCTCGGGAAAGATCTTCCAAGATTTGCCGGTCCACACAGCCCTAGCAGCCCAAAGGTTGGAAAATCCGGTGGTGGGAGGGCCTGGGAAGTCCTTGAGACGGTACCAAGCCGTGATGGATGAGATGGTGTACCAAGAAATGAAGCCAAGGACGAGGTAGATGGCGGCAACTTGGAACTTGGGCATTCCGCTGGAGACCAACGGGACAGCCCCGAGAAGCTCTGTGAGAGCCATGGCCGTGGATGTTCTTGTTGCTAAGATGTCGACAAGATGACCAGAAACCGGAGAATGGGAAGCCGTTGATATAGGTTTTTCACAGGCGCAAAAAAACATATCCAGCAGAGCTTGTAGTTGTGCTATTGGCGGCTCAAGACATCCTGATAGAGTGACATTGGCTCCGATACTTTCTCCATTCCACAGACGTACATCGAGGTGTTACAGGGGAGCAAAACCTGCGATTGGCTCTCTTGTACTAGGCCAGTGCGAGTAACGCTCATCCTCAACTAACGGTTGTCTATGCACCATGTTAGATACACCCAAGAGTGTAACGACGGTATTCGGCAATTCTGGGGTTGCGGTAAAGACTCCACCATGATACCACCCAAATTACTGGAAGAGGTAAAGAGCCCCCGCTACGGCCTATAGTTTTTGAACTCCGTCTGTTGTAGGGTTCTGTGTGTAACGGCTTCCCCGCCAGAAATGTGCTGATATATAGGTGTCCCCGCGGATTGAAATGTCACACTCGGGTCAACTCACTATCATAATCGTCCGCTGTCCAGTAATCCTTCAAGCCAAGCCGACCTTATCCACGATCATCCTGTCAATCCGGGGGCATCCAAAGGGGTGAACCGGGGAAGCACCGGGAGGTGGGTTTGTGTCGAAGGTTACAGCAGTGTAAGCGCCTGAGACTATCGCGGTTCAAGTCCTCGTGTCGGAGACAAACCTCCATATCATGAGAATTTCGATATGCGCTAGTGTCGGGACGAGCCGCGAGCCGTCTCAATGGCTCATCACATGTGACCGGTGAAAGAGTGCTGACACGGGTACTTCTCACGGCTGGTCGTAGGGAATGCGATGGACGAGCAGATGAGAAGCAGAGCGACAAGCCAACAGAGATGTTTTGCACGAAAATTCGCCATGCCACTGTTGTGATCAGCTGGGAATCTTTGTATAGGCTATCATGTTGGGGAATGCCATACTTGTGTTGATGCTCGCTGGTCAATAAATCAGCAGCAGGTTTCCTCCTTCAGGCGGGGTCGACAATCTGATAGGTGCAGCATCGTGTCCAGTGGCGATCATGTATCATGTCGCATTCTGCTAAAAAAAAATGGAAATGTGCCATTATGCGTCTTCTGATGCCCCGGGTATGGCGTGGCCCCATGTTGCAGATGAAGGCGTTTGGTGATTTTGGTGAAGCGAAAAGGAAGATGATGGGAGGAGAGAATTGAACTGTTCAATTGGCCAATGGATGGTTTCCAACTCCAACTCTCTCCAAGCAAGTCACTCAGCCACATGATGGGGAGCTCTATGGCTTGACTCAGCCACATGTCAGATTGCGTTGCCGGCACTCCTTCCTCAAGTAATCGGGTTTCCGGACCGGAACGGCTAAACATCGCTCTTGCCGGCTCCTGCTCTCGCATTGTTGGCTAAACATCGGCGGTCACAACCAACAAAAATGGCCATCGACTCTCCTCAAGCTTGGCTTCCCTCATTGGGCACGCCAAAATGGCACACATGATGCAGCTTTCAAGCCCCGTCGGGCCGCCGCTGACTGTGACTTTTTAGTCCAGGCAACGATATGACATGAAACCACAAAAGAGGAGGAAATGATCGAGGGGGCTTCCTGGGCCATGATATAAAAACCCCGTCTTTGAGGTGTAAATTCGATTTGCACCAACACATCGACATCAGAAACAGCAGCAATCCGGCCACCACTTGGCCCGTCTGGACGCCAAGCGACTGGAACCCACCGTTGTTTACTTCCCCCTTTTTCACTCCAAATCATCACGACTCCACTCTCCTCCACAATGACGGTGTTGAAAGCCGGTCTCAAGCGCGATGACTACAGCTGGCGTCAGATCCGTCCCGGACTCTGGCAGCGCGACGCCGACGAAGCAGAAGTGTTCTACTCCACCCTCGTCAAACTCTACGAAGGCTCCGGACGGATGCAATTCGCCATCACCGGCCACATCACCTTGAGAATCCATGTCCCCGAAGATGAGTCTGTGGAAGCCGTATCCAAAAGATTCGACGAGTCTCTCCGCATCGCCTGGCTCAGACAGCGCTACGAGACACCCGCCATTGCGTCCAAGGTTCACTACGACGCCCTCGACGGGAAGTGGAAGAAGTCCTACCGGACTATTCCCGATGATGCATCGACCAAGGCATGGCTGGAGACGTTCCAGGTTATAACGACTGGTCAAACGGGTGGTGCATGGGCTAATTCCGATCCACCCGCTCCTGAAGTTGCTACTCTGTTCGTCGTATGCCCTGTCATCCCGACCCAGGATCCTTCCGTCGTCCGTCGTGACCTCATCCTGCGCTCTCCGCACGACATCATCGATGGCATCGGCACTCTTCACTTTCTCAACAGTCTCGTTACCAAGACCGCCGAGGCCTTCAGAGAAGGCGACTTCTTCCGCTCTTTGCCTGTCTTCGACGGCTCCGAAGCATCCAACCTCAGCCCGCCTTACCGCATCGCTGCCAATGTTCCCTCGGTCCCGACGCCAGAGATACAAGCTCGACTTGATGCCTTGGAGTCCACATCCGCATCCTTAAATGCACCCTCTCGACCCGCACCAAACACCAACGACCAAACCCAAGAACCGGCACCCGCGCCCATTGACATCGGCATCCCCTACAACACAAAAGGCCCTCTCCTCCCCTCCAAATCCAGCCGCAAATCGATGTCCTGGCCCCAGGAACACCTCTCCAGCCTAACCACCTACATCAAGACCCACTGCCACCCCGGCACCACGGTAACGCACGTCTTCCACGCCGCCATCGCCCTCACTTTGCGCAACATCAACGCCCGTCGCTCGGCCAATGACGCTCCTCTTGTTTCTGGACAAAAGGTTCGATACACCAACTACCTCCTCCGCAACGAACGGCCCTCTTGCCTGCCCCCTTACGACACCCCTGCACACTGCGTGAGCGTGTATCACTCGCTACCGGCTTCCAAGCTTGAAGTCGACATGGCGCCCTCTCTTCCCGCCAGCAGTGGGGAAGAGAGGAGGGGGAGGAGGGAGTTTGAGACCATCATCTCCCAGATTCGCGACTTTTACGTGGGTGTCAAGGAAGATCGTCAACACTTTGCGCTGGCGCCGGGGATTTGGGCTGAGTGGACTCGTCAGCTTGGAGTCCCTGAGCAGGTACTAAAAGGGGAAGAAAAGATGCCGGTACCAAAGCCGAAGAAAGTGCCGAGTGTGAGTATTTCCAGCATGGGTGTCGTTGAGCAGATCGTGACCAAGTGGCATGATTTGGGATTTTCGGGGTCCGAAGAGTCCTCATCAGGAGTGCCTCAGGGTAAGGGTGAAGAAAAGGGAGGAGAGGGATATGAAAAGCGGCGAGAAGGAAAGTTGGAAGTGCAATGGCCGTGGGTGTCGGGTGATGAACTGAGCAATGGATTGGGAGTGTTCTTGCGGACGTTCGATGGCAGGCTGGAGATAAGTGTTGTGTATAACGAGGCGTGGCATAGCGAGGCGGACGTAAAAGATTTCTTGTCGTCTTTGGACTTTTATGTTGAGAGCTGGATGGGCGGAGGGGGGATGAATCCTGATGAGGATTTGGGCTAGGGGGGTGGAGGGTTTTCAGTTGTTTGAGTGAGTTGGGAGAGGGGGGTCAGATGTCGGCTTGAGAGTTATGGAGGCTTTGTTGAGTGATGGATTAGGTATCTGCTCTTGTTTCCTCCTGGTTTTCTAGTAGAGATAGTTTGAGGGTACTGTGAGGTTCGTCATTTATCTGGCCTCTTATATCCGCATTTCCTCTCCCAAACTTTTCTCCCTCCAGCCAATTGTGACAAACCGTTACAAGCACAGGAGTATTGTCGCTGGGATAGAACAATAGAGTAACAGAGTAGTAGCCGAAAGATACTGGTAGGTTGTAATAGCTATTGCTTGCTGAAGAACCCTAATAACGAAGGCCGGGAGGCCTTCGTTATATACTGGTCTTCAGCCTTGTCCCGTGGTCCCGTAAACCCGGGACCCGGGACCGGGTCCTATCTATTTGGTCAATCTATCCAAGTCCGCTGATTGGATCGTACCACCAATCTACCTATGATGTAGGGATCAGATGAACAACGCATCCTTGTTGGAATAGAAACCAAGGGCTCGCATCCAGACGATATCCCCGCTGTTAAGAACAAGTTTGCATGGGTTGCCATCGCCCTGCTCGCCCTGGACCTCTCCTTCCTTGCAGCTGCGCTCCGGTATGCGTTTACAGTAGATATACGTTGGTCTGTTTTCCGGATCACACTTGTAGTAGTCCCCTACGGACTTGATGACTGCAAATTTGGTCCCTCTGCGTAGGTCTAGACAGACCAAGCCCCGACCGTTCATGGACTCCACCTCAATCATGATCAGCCCGCTGATGAGCATCGTCCACATGCTAATAGGACGATCAATGGAAAACCCGTCCCCTGAGCGCCGCTTGAAGACCGCATTGAACGGGCCTCTGGTATCCAAGCACGAAAAAGATTCATCCTGTAACAGCTTTGCTAGGATGAGCTGTTCGTCTATCCCGGTGACTTCGGACAGTTCGGAGACGCTTTTGCAGAGAACCCTCCCATGCAGAAAGTCGTTCCATGGCCATTCGTGTACCCGGACGCTTTTCACCACAAGCAAGACAAATGCTGCCAGCACCCAGCAGTATGTCGTGATGTTGAATGGATCAACGGCTTGGATGCTGCCTCCCACTGTCACACCAATAGCAATACCCCCGGCAACAAGCATGACGCAGAGCAGCATCGTCATGGCAACATACGTTTTGCACTTGACCATGACGCCCTTTTCCTCAAATACCCAGGACTTCATCTTCTTGCCAACGCGATCGAGTTCCTGCCGGTGGGAAACGATGCGCTCAAGTGAACTTCTTTCATCTGCTGGAGTTGCATGTGACCCCGTGTTAGGCCCATTGGCCAGCTTCTCAAGAACCCCTGACTCCCTGCGTGGAAGGACCGCAGCTGTTTTGCCCTTGTGAAGGTTGTTGCGTCGCATCAGGGCATTGGATAGAGATTTTGGCCCGTTGGGAAGGTGAGCTTCTTGTTGCGCACGGTATTCATCCGTGGTCAACGAGAAGAATGCCGTATATCCGGCATAGGTATGGGGCTTGACAAGATGACCTTGGCGTTTGCGTTCCGCACTAGCCTCCCCAGCAGCACTGAGACCTATCATGAAATCACTAAAGGTAATGTTGTCGATAAACCTGGAGACAAGCATCACCACCTGGGGGCTTGCAAGGACCAATGGAACCAACACCGAAATAGTGTTCGACATCGAACGGAGCCGGGCCGTCCTTTGTGGGTGAACTTCGGTGGTGGTGTTGTCGGGGCCATCAGGCGTGTAATTCCATGATATCGTGGTGCCAACTGAAGCATCCTCATCTCTGAGACCCGTTGTCAGCCCAACGGGAACAGACCGGTCTGTTGCACTGGTGTTTGGTCTGCGTATAGGCATATGCAAAGCTTGTGTGCTGTCCTGGCCCGCATTGTCTCCAGGCACGAGGAATCCTCGCGGGAAAATATGATCCACGGTCTCATTCAAGAAGTGAAACATGTTTCGACCATTGTTGACCATGGGCTCATCAGATGTACCAAGGAACTCGTCCGTCTCGTCTTGAAACACGAGGGTCCGAAAACGCTCAAAACCAGTCTCATATACCATAGAGCATATCTCATATGATGTTGGAAAGCTCTGCGTGAGTCTGTTCGAACCTCGTAAGTGGACGATGAGGTTCTGGAGAATTTTGATAAGGCCGTGGCGGTACCTATCGCATCGCCGATAGTACATTATCCGCAGAGCCTTTTTCTTATTTTCAACCTCCAGAGGGGCCACAGGGGCTTGGACTCGGGTTTCGAGGCTTTCCATGACACGCTCCATTTGATCATCTGCCAGGCCTCCAGACACCGCTTTCGCTATGGCGTCACCAGCACTCAGAGGTTCGAGGGCTGCTGGCGCCTGTTCTTGGCTTTGACGAAGCCCAGGTTGAGAAGACATGAAAAAGGGCCGCTCAGGTGCACCGATGTCAAGCGAGACTTGGGCGTATTTCCTCAAGTTGGCTGAGACAACCTTGATTTTCGTCGAGATTTTTGCCAGGTGCGCCAGAATGTTGGTGTGAACAGTGCTGTCTCCGACAGTGGAGCAAAGAACACGGGCCAGAACGCCGGTGCAGTAATCAACAAACTTGAAGAAATCCTCGTTGCTGATTCTGTTAGCCCCCTTCTGATTTTCATCGGACTCAGCTTCCACGTCGCTCATGTAGACAAGAGAGACCCGACAGTTCTCCAATTCGGCTTTGGCTGCGAGTTGCTCAAGGTGTTCAACCAACAGACTTTCACCGTCATAGCTGGCAATGATCAACGATTGCATGACCCTATCAGCCAAAATGGCAAGCATGCCATATGATTTTATGGAATCCACAGCCAGATCTTTGGACCCTTGGAAGAACAGGGGGTTGGGTTGAGAAACTGCGTCAATGAGCCTCAAGGCTTCTAGGTCCCAGAGTTGGTCTTGAGTCGATTCACCAACATCATATGGTGTTATATCATCGAAGTTTGGGAGGTCTGTAACCTCGAGGTCTGGAGAAAGCGATGGTAGGCGAAATCTTTTGTGGATCTTGAGCTCTCTGAGCACATCATCTCGGTTAATGATAATTGGGCCTGGACTTTCTTTGTGAGCTGAGGGTATGGTTGGCGTAGCCGGTCCTTCACTTTGAGACGGTGTGGTGGTGGTGGTCGTGGACGGCTGGATGCTGATATTGGTGTTTTTGAATATTGTTTTGAACCATCCGTCCTTATTTCCATTGACTGTTTTGCCCTTGCCAACAGTAGGCCTATGCAATGGAAGTTCTTGAGACATTGTTGCAAATGTGCTTGGTGGAAAGTACCTCTATCTGTGGGAATTGCATGTGTGAGCTCGACGTCCTCTTCAACCATGACAGATTGCTTGGATCAACATACTAGTGTCAATGAAACAGAGACTCCTCGATTGACACATATGTCAAAGAAGAGCGTGTTTGATGCACTTGGGTCGTGATGTAGGTTGTTGGTAGTGTTTGTGTGAATATCCAGAAGCCAAGCCGTTTATTCCACGTCTTGATGGCCCCTTTGTAGTCGACCGGCATGAATCCGCCAAACCCTTTTATCTTCACCACAACCCAAATTTGGTTGTACATCTGTGGGTAGTACCTACCTAGTAACCCGGGAAGAAAGCGTTGAGGCTGAAGACCTGGAAGGAGGTACCTAGGTACAGAAACTTCACAGGTGCAAGGGAGGAATCACGGAGTCGTAGGCACCTAGCTCCCAGGTGCTGGTGCCTGCCACAGTGACATATGGCGTGCATATGTGCGCGGGGGTGTTTTCTGCATGACTGGTTGGCATCTACCTGTCTGCCTGTCTACACTTACCATTCGTGATTGGCAATCGCGATAGGCCCCATCCAATCTTGGGGGCCTAGAGTACTACGCAGCAGAGTATCGTCGGACGTCGATCCCTTTGCCGTCCATGAACTCAGCCTACTGCAGCTGTAGGTGTATGTGCCTTCAACTCTCCCTCGTACCTACCTCTGGCCAGGCCTTCATGCCGTACAACACTTCCTTCGACCGAGTTTCGACCATCAGACATTGAAAGTGGTTTGCAGTCATGGACCCATACAAACCTCACTTGTTCTCATTTGCCGGTAGAGCGTGTTTCAGCTCACTTGAACTCATGGCGTAGCGGTATTGATGCCCGAAACGACTCCGAACTTGGCGATTCTGCTTGTCATAAATTGTCAAATGCACTTATGATAGGTAGCCTTAACCACATTGGAGGAACTAATATCTGATGAAAAGGAAGTCTAGAATAAACACAGACAGACAGTCACCAAGCGGCAACGCTGATTGGAAAATGGAATTCCGGGCAGAAGCAGGCTCTGTTCAGCTTGCTTACTTTTTGCAGGATTATTCTTTTGTCAAGGACGAATGAGCTGCGAAATGACAGTCTGCATGGTGTTGTTCGTCGTCAGTCAGGTTCGCCAACATGGAGAGTGGAGAGGGAATTGGCAGCCATAATGTTCCTGATAAGGCAGCAACATCATGATTGTGAGACATGGCAATGCCTCGTCCAAGACGGCATCCAACCAGAGTCAATGTAGTCACATCAGGACTGTGCTTACCATGCACTAAGACATGCGATATCCCCGCACCCCAGAGGGAGAAGAGCCGCGCCCGAAAGAGACTATCCAATTTCCGCGATTGCCGGTAAGAATGAAGAAAAAGATGCATGATGATCAACATGATACCGTCTACAATACGTATCCGTGTAAGATATTTGCCAATAGATGTAGCAGCTATGCATGCAAACATTTTGAGCTTCCGATAGCTGTAAGATTCCTGTCCGCAAAAGGAAGTCCACAGTGACTGGGAGTTCGTGATAGCACTCATCCAGTCTATTGCCATGAGGCTGCGCATCTGTGTCCATCACAGAGATCATGTTCCCATCTTCTTTAAAGTTTCAAGCAGCTGATAACCACCATTCACCTGCCTATTGTCCTAGAATCTCTTCACCCTGAATATTTCCCTTCATTGTATATTTGCATACTCCTCGTTTGCTTGGAGATCAACCGTTGCAGTCCTGAGAGCTATTACCCAGTACCTCCAACACTATTCTCTCTATCCTAGATTACAGACACATTTGAGGTCCGGAGCACTCGCTCTGTTAGACCTCGTTCTCTCACGCGATGTCTTTTGATGCCTATAACAGGGCGCTGCCGGACCACTATCTAACAAGTCCCGGTGCCCCTCCAGCTGCGGATCTCTTGAACCCGAGCGACCTCCCAGCGGCTAATGGACAAGAGGTACGGCATGGTTTTTCAATGCCCTTTACAGTCTTTTTGTTATTTTACCCAAGATGCTAACCCTCCCAAAACAAAAAAAGAGTTCAAAGAAGGCCCGACCAAAGGGTTCATAGACCTGATTGAAGCTCATGTCGAGGGCTTTGGTGGACGGGACATCACCGTCCTTCAAACATCCAAGTACCTTCCTCGCAAGAGTGCCGCAACAAAAAAGCCGGAAACCGAGTACAAAGACTATGCCGTCATCCTTCGCCGTACAGTGCTTGAAAGAAACAAGCAGGCCAATGTTGTCCGCCTCGAACTGGAGATCCACTCCAAGCGACTTTGCCAAAAGTTCAGGGAGATTGCCGCCAGATCCTACGAATCCACGGACCTCCAGACATACCCCATAAAGATCAGAGGTCCGTTCAGCGAGCTATTCTTCTATCGGAAAGAAATACATGAGCTTGCCGAAAATCAGGACATCGACGCAGACCTTCGCCGCGATGCCAAAGCGCTGGATGATTTTGTCAACAAGGGCAACGGCATGATGACGAGTATCATCGAAGACCATGAGAGGTACTCAAAGGACAAAAAGGTCATCAACGACATTCTGTGGACGATTTACCCGCCCAACAGCCTCGCTGTCCTCGACTTGGGCAAAATCAAGGAATGCTGGCTGGTGCGAAATGTCTATCATATGGAACACCCAAAAAGCAGGAGGCTTTACTGGGTCGTCACTGGGCTCCGCCTCGATTACGATGGCACGGCTCCAGGGTTGACGCGCCAGAAATTCCTTACCCCCCTCACCGGGATGCGCCCGGTGAACATCTCTTCCCTCCCCCTTGGTTCCTGTTGAACATTACCCAGATTGGGAGTCATTCAAGCACAAACTGCTGGCAAGGTCCAAGAAGCTGAGGGCAGTCCTGGGTGGTGACTTCTCATCATTCGGATGCCAGATATACAGCGGGCCTTCGTGGGACAATGGGGTTTGGGAGGATGTCTTCCCGGTCCTGGACGGGGCGAACCCGATCTTGTTATCCAAGCATATCCAGGAGCGTGTCATGGTCGACTTCAAATCTTTCGCAAAAGATATTACCCTACCCTCGTTGGTCGATATCCAGAAGGATGCGGGAATCCACCCGTCGAAGGGTCGAACTACGGCGAGGGGGACCTTATCTGTCCCCGAAGCAAGAAAGCGCCGCGGTCATCGGCAAAGAACTATGTTTCACTCTGATGATTCTGATTCCGACTTTAATGAGCCGAAAGTCGATGAGATGCTGCAAGACCTGGAGGATCCGATGAGGTACAGAACGGCGAGTGCTTTGGAAGGGGATACACGGGCTTCTGATGAGATTGAACACGGAATCGACACTCTTCAAGGTGTAGCACAGGCTACTATCAAAGCACTTCATATCTCACATCAAGAGTTTGAGCTGATCTTCCCAGCCTTTGTACCGGCCTTTGGTCTAAGAACCAAAAAGTGGAAATGGATCCTCAGCGATGAACTGCAGGACGTGAGGTGGAACAATGTCGCATTCCAGTCTCTCCAACTCGAAGAAGTAACCAAGAAGTTGGTAGAATCTTTGGTAAAAGGACACAAAAACAAGTCGGTTGCTTTTGACGATGTGATTGCCGGAAAAGGCCAAGGACTGGTGTTCCTTCTACATGGGTATGACATACGTTCTTTCCTTAACTTCTTCATAACGCTCATTGAAGACCCCGACAAGTCTCGCTTCAATGTCACATCAGCATTCATGACTTCTGGAAGCGTTGCTAATATACTTTGAACTATAGAAACCCCGGGTTGGGCAAAACCCTCACAGCCGGTAAGCCGCCAAAACCACTTTCGATGGAACCTTTACATCCCTTCCCACAACTTCTCTGATGCTTTTACTGGAAACTGCGCGTATATTGCCGACGTAATCGTTTAAATTCCAGGCAGCGGTCTGCGCGAGATGCTAATCGTTTCAAACAGAAAGCGTTGCGGACTACCTTGAGCGACCACTCTATTCAATATCAGGTGGTGAACTGAGCACCCGCGTCAGCGATGTAGAGGAGCGACTGGACGATATCTTTGACTTAGCCAAAAGATGGGACGCTGTCACGCTACTTGATGAGGCAGATGTTCTCCTGTGCAAAAGGAACTCGGCGGATATGGAAAGAAACGCAATCGTCGGAGGTAAGGACAGATCGGTTCAGCCGACATCATGTCGCCACACTATCCCCGCTAACTTGGCCTTGAAATTATTCAGTATTTTTGCGGACTCTGGAATACTTCCAAGGAGTCCTCTTCCTTACTACCAACCGCAAGGATGACTTTGACGACGCTTTCAAATCCCGCATTCATGTGACAATTTGCTACCCAGAACTATCGGAGAAAGCTCAGAGTCAAATTTGGGAGGGCTTAATTACCGCGAATCAAAAAGTGGCAACTGACAGGTCGTGGAATGAGGAGGTGTATGGCGCTTTGGGAAGATTGAACCTGAATGTAAGTCAGTCGAAAAGCGCGCAGCACTCTATGGAAACCCCGCCTAAGGACCTTCCCAAGGTCGATTTGATACTCAATGCGTTCTTGAACTGTGAGGCTGACAAAAACGCACAAAGGGCCGGACAATCAAGAACATCTTGAGAACTGCTGTTGCGTTCGCAAACGCCGACAGCAAGCCCCTCGGAGCTGGTCACGTCTTGTCAATCGTGCAGACAGAAATGCAAGGTGTTGATGAAAGTCTCACGCATGACAAGGAATCGAAGGGGAAAATAAAACGAGCGCTGAATGAATTACATCGCGTCGTGGGCCGTCCGCTATAGCAGGAGTCACTGGATGTGTATTGGAGCTTAGTTATTGAACGGCGTCATTGAAGGCCTGGAAACTACCATGTATTGGAACCTGGAAGAACAAAGATGGAAGACGCAATTAAGATAGAGTCAATCACAGGCGTCTGAACCAACTATCGGTGAGCGGGGGGCGTTGACGATCTCGGTGATCTTGAAACAATAGCACTACATCGCCCGCTGACCGATGTCGGGTAGTGTGCGTTAGGTGGAGCCTTGTCATATCATCAGGCCGTGAAAGTAGAGAAGGGAGAGTCAGGTTAGCAAAGGTTCTCTGGGAGTACAGGAAGGTTGGAGTTCAACAATAGACGTGGAAAAGGAGAAGGTCGTCGGGCCTGAGAAGAATCGAGAAAATGAGCAGCCACAACCTCATGCGGGTGGGGGACGACTTCCCCAAGGCAAGCAGCACTCACCAGGCATTAGATGCAGGTAAGCTCATTGGCAACAGCCACAGAAGGAGCAACTATGTAGTAGTAGTCGGTGAACCATGTATATCTGCCCATCGCCCTTCCAAGTTCCCGTCTTTACTTCCTCAAAAGCTTGCACCAGACAGGACGCATCATACACGCAGCACGTAGATAAGCAAAAAGAAGGAAACGAAAAAAAGAGGACAAGATATGGGCTCAACCGGGATTTGAACCCGGGACCTCGCACATTCATGGATACCATGAGGGTTTAACCCGAAGCGCGAATCATACCACTAGACCATTGAGCCATTGGATGGTTGTTGATAACAACTCGTAGACATAGATATTAAGAACAACAACTGAAAACGTCGTGCACCCCGTACCGGCTGTTCTACAGGACATCGCAAAAAGCATCACGTTCTTCACGCATCGCAACTTCGTTGGCTTGGCCGAAGCTGAAGCTATTTTGGTGTCTTGGCATCTATTGACTCCACTAGTGCTATCTTCGCGGTTTTCGATGACCTGTTCCAGTTCCAACGCCTAACGCCTTTTGTCCCGTTGGCGGACGCTGACCTGAAGCGCAGAGACCTCAAAGTCATCTTCATGCGTGCGTGCAACCGTGTATCCCGTCGTACTTTCCCTTCTCGACATTCACCGTCCAATTTCCCCCGCCTTCAACGTCTCATCTCTCGTCTGCTTCAGAAACGGCAGTAGCGCTGTGCCTCCCGTACCTGTCAATTCTGGTATACCCTCCTTCCCCCCTTCACCATCTTTTTGTATCCTTCCCATCATTCTCGCTCTCTTTCCTCTGTTGCAACCCCGAACTAACACTGGCCAAATTGACCGCCTTTTCCACCTTCTCTCCATCCTCATCCTCCCCCTTCTTTTCCTCACCAGCCCTGCCCTTCTTCTCCCTTTTCATGTGCTCCGGCACCGGTTGCCTCGACGGAATGACGATAAACCTCGCCACAATCTGCAAATGTTTATTCCTGAACATCGCCAGTGCCCTGGTCGCGTTTGTGAAAGCCACCTGCAGCTCTTCCTCTTGTTCGTCCAACTGCCTCCCGTCTTGTTGCGCAGCTTCCACCATCTCCATGACCGCCTTGCGGATGCCACCCTTGCCGAGTCCCATTTTCGACACCATCGACAAAAATTGGCGGTGTTTCAGCGGCATGTACTCGCGGACTTCTTCGTGGAAGGGCTTTTCGTTCCTGTCTTTGGCGCCGGTGCTGGATGGTGAGGAGGAATGGGCATGGGGAGAAGAGTTCCCGGCGCTGACGTGCTCCACTCCCAATACCAGATCCCAAAATTGGATAAGCGACGATTGACCGTTTGAGCCGCCGCGGTAGGCCATCCACTTTCCTCTCCTCCTCTGCCCTTGCACTACTTGGTCTTCTTCTTCGGTGGAAGCAAGGCCAAGGTCATAAAATACCCCCTTGGGCAATCCAACGGCACTCATCCCTTTACTCCCCGCCAAGAACGGTCGAATCTGGTGGTAGAAGACCATGGGCTCGCAACGCTCGTACATCCGTTCCAGCAGCTCACCCACCGCTTCCACGCATGTGATTAGCTCCCGCAAAGCTTTTGTTGTCGTCTCCTTCCAGTCTGAGGAGCGAAGGCCGATGGCTTGTAGAGCGCGGAGCATGGTGGGAATGATGTATGCTCCTTGGGCCTCCATGGCTACCGAGACTAGGTAGAACCAGGACTCGGAAGGGGTGCCGGTAAAGGTGTGGAGGGTTTGGAGGCGGGAGAGGTCTGTTGGGTTGAAGTTGGTCTTTGGCTGAGTGTTGGAGGTGAAGGCTGGGGAATTGGAGGCGGGGGTTAGTGGGGGAGAAGGAGGGAGACTTTCACTGGCGACACTGAGGGAAGAAGTTGTCGATGAAGGAGGAGGAACACATCGGAAGTTCCAAAGGTTGAGAGAAGCATATGTTGCTATAGGCGGGAGGTCGAGGTGGGAGGAGACGGATAGTAAGGGAACGGAGATTGGTGGAGGCAGCACCTACGCATCTTGTCAGTACATCTTCATCTTCTGGACCCCCGTCACCCCATGGACCAAATCCAGCAAGACAAGATCGCGAACTCACCTCACTCGGCATCGACCCTCCCCAGATATATCCATGCGCAAAGAAACACAACACAACATACGCCCTCCTCCATTCCTCCTCAGTCTTCAGTCGACCATCCGTCTCCAAAACCGGCAACCTATCAACCTCCTCTCGAAACGTGCCGGCATCTAATGATTCCGACAGCCGCCTGATCAAGTTTTCCCATGGAGCATAGTACTCATCTGGCAGGACCTCGAGCGGTGGGCCATCCGGGAGGAACCCATTTGTGGTAACGTCGTACTTGTTTAACAGGGACTGGATGTGATTGGGGAATGACGAGCTGGTATCGGACTCGGACTCGGAGGAGGCCTGCTTGGAGGTAGTTGATATGGGAAGGGGTTCGTAGGGCGACATTGTGTCGTGGATATCTGGGTTTGACCCCAACGAGGTATCAGTATCGAAAAGTCTGGCGTGGAATACTTGCTACTGATGACTGATGGTCGAGTCCAGTCCAGTCTACAAACTAACAGCGGTAGCAGGTAGGTAGAGGTAGGTAGAAAGGAACAAAGAAAGTTCCGAAAGGTGAAGCAGCGTCGGGGATATCTATAGGCAACGGAGGACCAGCTACCTACGAAACAACGGGGGTCCGAGGACGTATAAAGCCGTGTGCTAATCCGTCTGTTAATTCTCAAGGATTCCAGCTTACCTAAACCTACCATGCCCAGAAAGCCTAGGTTGATCCCAACCCCAACCACTGGCTTTAATCACGTTTAACTTTACGCCGAGCGTCATTCACCACCGTCAATGGGCCCATGCACTGCCTTCGTTCATCGGACGACCAACAACTTGAGTGCATTTCATGGTGACCAAGCTCCATACCCCTTGGAAGTCAATCCTGACCATCAAGGTCGTTTACCTTAACTTCCGAGACCATCGAACGTTCCTTCCGCTATTCGATCCGTTCCGCACTCCACATGCTTATGGTGGTCAGTGGAGTAAACGGTCAATGGCCATCAAGAATTCGGGTCGAAGAAGTCTTGGATGTCTCGGAAAGAACAGGGGAAAAAAAAAGGTCAGTGACGTTGATGTCACAGATCACTTGGCCCCTTTTGCGCCGCGTTTCAGTTTTTTCCCCGAATTTTCGAGGGGGGGCGGAACTCGCCTTGTGACTTGTGATTTGTATTGTCCAACAGCAACGGGTGTGCTAAGTAAACCTGTCAAAGCAGTTCCCGGAACCACTGGGCACTGCCGCGGAAACAGGAATCGTTGGTCGTTGGACGAAATACTGTACTGTACTCCAAGCATATCGTTCACCATCCGTGATTCCGTGTGTATCGGTCGTCATCTGCTCGGTTTACAGGTAGGAAAGGTTGGCAATTACATAATTGCTGTGATCGGGTATTAGCGGTATTGGCGGTATACAAAGCGGAATGAGATGACAACGCGGCTGATTCCCTTGTAATTCGCGAATTGGCGGATTCGCGGCCTTTTTCGGTCTGTCGGTTGTCGGATCGGTGGTCATCTGTCTCGTCCTCTTGTGCTCTTGGTTGATCAGTGGTCGAACGCGGAGACAGAGGCGGAAGCGGAAGCGGAAGCACGGACACTGATTGCGGAAGACGGAAGATACAAACTGCCAGCCTAAGCGAAAAGCGGGTCCAATCCCGACCTTCCGCTTCCGCTTCCGCACTTGGCCACTTCCACTTGGTCCCGTGGATAACAGTTTCCAAGTAAAAAGCGACGAGAAAGCATCCGGAGAATGCCGGCGAATCGGCGATGGTGGGGAAGACAGAATGGCCAGATTTCGACTACAAAACCGCATGTTTGGATCATTAGAAAACATTGCATGATTCTCCAATTGTCGATGGTAGTTCATTTGCAGTTTTTGACGTACCTTTTTTGACACCAACACGGACTCTTTTTGGGACTTGCTTTGGATCCGCTCATCGATACTTGTATCCACCCAAGTAAACAAACCCCCCTTTTCTTGCGTCCGTCAGATCCACATCGCCTCCAAAACAGACACAGACACAACAACAATGAGCGACTTCACATCCAAAGTCGAGGTCCTCAGGGACGGCCAAAAGCCCGAATTCCCTTCCAACGCCAACACACTCGAGTATGCCCAGAGTCTGGACGCGCAAGATGAGCTCAGGCATTTCAGAGATGAGTTCATCATTCCCACGCGCGGCTCGCTGAAGAAGAGGGCGCTTGACGGGACGATTCCTGGTACGTTTTCCCCTCGCTTCCCATCGCCACCATTTTCACGCTGGACATAACGGTTAACACCACATCAGGCGTCCCAACACCCGGCACCACCGAAGCCGACACCCCCTGCATCTACTTCGTCGGCAACTCCCTTGGCGCCCAACCCAAGGCCGTCCGGACTTACCTCGAAGCGCAACTAGAGACCTGGGCCTCCATCGGCGTCAACGGTCACTTCTCATCCATGTCCAACTCCCCCCTCGCGCCCTGGCAAGACATGGCAGCCGATTGCGCCGCCAAGTCCGCCGCCATCGTCGGCGCCGCGGACCCTTCCGAAGTCGTCATGATGAACACTTTGACCGTCAACCTGCACTTCATGATGGCCTCCTTCTACCGGCCCACTGAGAAGAGGCACAAAATCATCCTCGAGTGGCGCCCCTTCCCTAGTGATTGGTACGCTTTCCAGAGCCAGATCGAATGGCATGGTTTGGACCCCGAGAAGTCGATGGTGGAGATTCAGCCTGATGAGAACCTTTACTTGTCGACGGAGAAGATCCTCAAGACGATCGATGAGCATGCTGAAGATGCGGCACTGCTTCTCTTGCCGGGTATCCAGTACTACACCGGCCAATTGTTCGACATTCCGCGCATCACCAAGTATGCTCAGGAGCGCGGCCTCGTTGTCGGCTGGGACTTGGCCCACTGCGCGGGTAACGTCGAGCTCCAACTTCACGACTGGAACGTCGACTTCGCTGTCTGGTGCACGTACAAGTACCTCAACGGTGGCCCCGGTTCCATGGCCGGTGCTTTCGTGCACGAGCGTCACGGAAAGGTGGATATGAGCTCTGGCAAGCCGGTGTTCAAGCCAAGACTGTCGGGCTGGTACGGAGCGGACAAAAGCGTGCGGTTCAACATGGACAAGGAGTTCCAGCCTACGCCTGGCGCGCAGGGTTTCCAGATCAGTAACCCGAGCGCAATCGACCTGACAAGTTTGGCGGCTGCGTTGTCGGTGTTCAACAAGACGAGCATGAAGGATCTGCGGAGCAAGGCGTTGGTGTTGACAGCGTATACGGAGCATTTGCTGGATGAGATTGTCAGGAGACAGCCGGAGGGCGAGGAGCCGGCGTTCAAGATCATTACGCCTAGGGATCCTTTGCAAAGGGGGACACAGTTGAGCTTGTTGTTGAGGGATGGGTTGATGGATAAGGTGGCGGCAGCGCTGGAGGAGAATGGTGTGGTTTGCGACAAGAGGAAACCGAATGTTATTCGTGTGGCGCCGGTGCCGATGTACTGTCGGTTTGAGGATGTGTGGAAGTTTATGGAGATCTTTGAGGGAGCTATCAGGGGTTAGCATGGTCGTAGCACGTGGAGAATGCAAAACAATTGTCAAGTCAATTCTGGGGTTTGAAGAAAAACGTATTTGTATGAATGATAGTAAGTTGTTTCCAAGTGTATATCTGACGTTGGCCGCAGCTCTTCGGCCTCAACCTGATCCAATCGGCCAAGCATCTGCTGACATCAAAAGGCGCCATTAGCAAAGTCCACCACCGTGACCTTTTCCACAAAAGGCTCGATTTCTTTCTTGAACGATTGATGGATGGGATCCAGATTGACATAGTAGTCTCTTTCGGCGGCGGATTCAAATTCGACAACGAACGCATGTGTAAGGCCGCCCTGGATCATATCACATCTGGGTTAGCTCTTGCCAAGAACCTGGGCCACGCCCACCCACGGCCTCGCAACTCACCTGCAATCCCTCTGGGGAATTATCTCTGCCGCCGGAAATCTTGCGAATGTACGGCTGCTGTGCCATGGTGACGCATTGTTCCTTGAGGCCTAGGAAGCGGTTGGAGATCTGTGGTCGGGTACTTTGTCAGCGCTGAAAAGGATGACACCAACTTACGTATAGTGGGAGTTGATATCGGAGACCTACCGTACTAATCTTCTCGGCGCCCGCACTGGCCTTGAACTTGAAAAGAACAATATGTGTAATCGTTGAAGACATGAACCACCCGCCCGATCGAGTGTCCGACGGATAGAAGCTGCCGAGTGCTGACGAGGATGTGAGTCGCAAACCGAGGGGATCAAAGAAGGAGAGCAATCCGACTGCTGCCAAGATGGCAACAAGAAGTCGCAAAACGTGTGGTTGAACGCCGCGCATTGTATTCGAAGCGGTGATCTGAGGAAATACTTCGTTCGTTTTGTCGTTCGCGCGATCACTGGTCAGGCTGCCTGATTGAGTTGATATAGAAAAGCGAGGATTGAAGATGGGATGTTCGCGGGAGGAAGTTCATTTTCTCTTGGCGGTGCAACGGGTCCAACGGTTTGCGGCTGATATGCCCCGCCCCTACAGCGCTACATAGCGTGTCTGCTTGCCTGCATCGGCACCGCCAACCACACGTGATAGAGGAGTTGTTCGGCGTCTCAATCCAGGCACAGTGTGCTTCCAACCTTCCAACCTGCCTTACCATATCCAATTCAACACGAGATCTGGAACAGTCCCATCTCCAAAGCCAATCCAAAGCTCCATCCATCCATTCCTCTTTTCGCTAGTAGGCTGCCTCACGATCCTACTCCAGGGGCAGGTATCGTATTCGCTTACCACAGGCACTCGGACCATCCTCTAACCAACTTGTTACGACCCTTGCTCGTTCCGAGCCAACCGTCACGACACAGTCCCGAAAAGAGACAGCGAGCGAGACTGGTTGACTGCAAGACAACGACACGATGGCAACCTAAAAGACGAAAAACTCAGAAAAAGGCGCAAAAAAGAGAAGGAGCAGACCGAGCCCGGATTCGAACCGAGGACCTTACTGATACGGTACGTTACGACACTAGGTTCGAATTACAGCAGGTAGCAGTCCAATAGCGCGCTGGAAGCCACCATATGGCGCGCTGGAAGTCAGCGGCTGTAGCAGCTTCTACAGCGTCCTTAGCAGGTAGGAACACCCGTAGATGAGCCCTAGCCTGGTTACTGTATAAAGTCACCCGCTATCTCTCTCCCCCCGGTCCGCGACGTATATTACGGCACGTGTATACCAGCGCACACCTACACCACTCGACCATTGTTCCAACAAGGTTAACACACTGTCATTTGCAATAGTTTATATTACCGACCTACAAGTGGAAGTCTGGACATTTGTGACTTGACCAAAGTTTGGTCGTCGTCCACAAACACTTCGATCGCTGTTATATTGTTAATACGGGGATCCAGTAGAGTGTATGCACGGGCCATATCAATACAAGCTCCATCGCCGATCTCGTCGACGACGACCAACCTGCAACCCAACAAAGCTCGACTCTTCTCAAACAGCTTCCCCGCTGGTGTTTCTTTGTGTATGTCATCCAAGTCTCCCCAATCGCTCCTGTTCCTACACTAGGAATAAGACACGACAGCCTCCGCGTTCGCCCAGAAAGCTCCAAGGAGTTGTGCTTCTTCCGCCACTCCTTGTGGCAACATGTCTCGCAGCCCTCCAAATTAAAAATATGTCCTGCAACAGTAACCAAAGCATCTCTTATCAGTGTAAATCATGCAATTATAATCAATACTCCAATAAGTCCCGCTTGCAAGTGTCTACTTGATCACTCTCCTTGGCCTCATCGGCCTTATCACTCTTGCCTTTCTCGCCGCTTTCGTCCGTCTTGCCGCTTTAATCTGTCTTGCCTCCCTCGTCGGTCTCGTCTTCCTCCTCGCCTTCCTCTTCCCAGAGCCAAACTAGACAATCTTAATTGACACCATCACGTCGTCTTCATCAATCTTCACACTCACATAAGTCTCCTTACTCTCATCGCTGTCGTTGTTGTCATTGCTCTCGCCGGTATCTTCATCATAGGCCTTGTGTCTAGACCACTGACACCCCGGCCGGCCACCAGGCTGTCCACAACAAGTCCAGCTGAATCCGTTGGTAAAGGTCACGCGAATGAACGGAGTATCCAGCTCCTTCGACTCATGCTTATCTATGTCAATGAACGCCTCCTCTTCCCATGTTGACGACTCACGGTTGAGCTGCATGATTCCTGATCAACAGACAAAAGCATCAGTATCAACCTCTGAACCCAATGAGATAGTTATATCGAAGCGGCAACGGGGCTGCGAATAGATATCCCTCTTGAATGGTGACTGATAACCCACCTGGATGACGACAACAACCCTGCGCTTTGTCTTTGATGTTGAATATCGATCGACAACGGATACACTCCGAAAGCTTCCCTATGCCTTTTGCTTTAAGCTTCTTGACGAAAGAACCCCTCTTCCTTTCCTCTTCGGGTGTCCGTGTCTCCTCTCGCGCTCGTTTGGTTGAACTCCCGTTCGGCTGCGAGTTTGGTGGGCTTGCTTCGTCGTCGCCGTTGGTGGACTCGACGGCCTTGACGCTCTTTGGATCTTGGTCGGACTTTTTATCTTCGGATGCCTGGTTCGCAGTGAGAAGCTCGTGGATGCGCGCTTGGAGAGCTTCGCTGTCCCTGGTCCCCTCCCATATATACAGCTGGTATAATGCATTGCGGAGTACAGGCGGGTCCCGTTTGACAAGTGCGGCGAAGATTTCTCGGTATCGATTGATGTTTGCGATAGCCTGAGGAGGAGCTGAGGGAGGCGGGGTTGCTTCTTCCTGATCAGACATGTTGAGCAGTTGGACACAAGAAGTGATGGGATGTGTTTGAATGGAAATTTAATGTAAAAAATGGCTGATAATGGAACACGATAGTTTAGAAATCTTTGTCAACGTTGGGAACTGGATGTTGGTGTTTGCAGCAAAGAGGAGAGGAGACTGCTCACGTGAGCTGAGACATTGCAAGCGAAATGTGCAGAGAGCTGGGGAAAGAAACCTGGAAAGGTTGATCTACTGCCACAACCGAACCTTCTGTTGAACACCACGTTCTTTTCTTTGCATATTGAAGACTTCCATTTGTAGCAACTGGGATGGTAAAAAACCACAGGTCAATAACCATCACCCTACCGTCACTACCACCTGCCATTCTTCCGTCCACTTGGGCGACTTCCACTTGGTCGCCTCGAGGTAATGTCGTTGGTAGAGTGTCCATGACCTTCACCTTCCATACCAAATGTCCGCTTGATGTTAGTCTATTAGTTCTCCTAAGTTGCACCACCCTTATCAGCAAATCCAATGCACAATATCACGAAAGAGCAAGCGTCGCAGACCCCAATTCCCATAGACGCATAGTCCAATCGATGAACTTACCAAAATAGCAACATGCGTCTTGCTCGTATTGACAATCTGCATCAAAACCTCGAAGCAGTGATTACAGACCTTGAGTGTCTGCACTGGGCTTCCTTCCCTGTCCAAGGGCGCTGCAATATTCTGCGCGTCAGGATGAGGCTCCATGTTATCGACACGGCAAGCGGGGAGATTTCTGAAGGCGGCAGCCAGTTCATCGATGCGCGCTCTCAGGTCGGGGTCGCCCTCTGCGTAGAGCGAGAATAGCATTGAGCGCAGGCTGAGGATGGGGGCGGTGATGATTGCGTCGAGGGTGGTGCCTGTGTTGCTACTTGAGCTGTCGCCCTCTTGGGGAGCTTGAGGCGGGGTATTACTTTGTGTATTCGTCATTTTGTCTTGGGGTCGTGGGCGTAAAACTTCTGTTGCTTGTATGCTAAGCCAGAAAGGAAAGAAAGGAAAGAATGGAAGAAAGAGTGATCGTGGAGGATTAAATACTTAGGAAAGTACAATCGTGGTGCAGGCTGCAGCCCCAGTATGAGCAAATGCCAATGCCAGTGAATGGCATTCAGTGGGCATTCTGGACTAACACGCTTGTGAAGAAGCGACTTGCGGTAGAATAGAGTTAGGGATATAGTGAACAATGGGAAAGCTAATCGCGTTGGCTCTTTGCGCAAGGTTTCCTTCTACTTCCACCTTGGACCTTTGTAGCGTAGTAGTTTGGATGGAAGGAATACTGAGCGACCTGTTGACCGGAATGCCGTACCACAACGCCCGCTCGCCGTTACGGGATTGCCATGTTCCCAGCATGAATTACTGTTCGTTATATGGCCACCTCAACTTCTTCTGCCAAGCTTCCGCTTCACCTTCCCTTGCAGTGACACTATAGCCTCCCTTTCTACTCAGCTTTCTACGACTTCCCGGCCACCACGGATCCAGCTCAGTTACTCTCGTTACCATCGCCATCACTCGAATCGTCCTAGGAGACGTACTCCACGTGAAAATCCTGAACACAACCATCCTCCTCGCCAGGCTTTCACAGCAGCTCCAAGTAGATGCCTACAAAGGCACCCAGCAGTACTTTGGATCCTTCGGGTTCAAGCCTGCCTCAACCTTCACTCTGTGAGATTAGGGATGGTTCACCACCCCGTACGCAACGGGATTAAAGTCGGGGTTGGCCTTTCTTTTGCCTGTTCAGCGACGTTGCGAAGGTCAGTGTCTGACAACCAATCGTCCCTGGATAGAACCAAAGTTGACGGAGTAGAACATACCAGGATGGCGAATGCAGACGTTGCCCGTATCGTTAGGATCAAATTCGTCCTCACAAACATAACACCAGGGCTTGCGATCAGTCGGTCTGTCCGCCGAATCTTTGGTCGGCTCGTCCGTGGACTCTTGAGCCGCTTCGCCGTCCGAGTCTTTAGCCAGCTCCTCCGCCCTCGTGCCGTGTGGCTCACAGGAAGGTGAGTCGCAGCCCGCGTTCAGATCCTGAATGATCTCGTTGTACTCCTAGATCAAGCTCTCGATGCACGACTTGAGATCGTCGTCACCCTCGGAGTACAGAGTGAAGAGCGCGCAGCGGATGCTGAGGAAAGGAGCGCTTTGCATCGCTTGAATGCCTTTCCTGATGTGCTCGTTCGGTTGTGGAAGGGGGGTGTTTCGTTGGTCCGCCATTGTTGCGCGCTTAATTGCCAGGGTCGCTGGTGATGTGTCGAATGGTGAAATACGATGGATGGACAATTGTTTGGTGGTTGCGCAAAGGAGGATGGAAGTTGGGGCATGGATTGAGATAAAAGTTTCTTGCTTTTGGATTGTTCGTGGACCGTGCCCTGTCCTGGAACCCTTCACTCGGCGTGCCATTCACTGGTACTCCCGGGCCTTTCTGGTATCGTTGGCTGTCTTCCACTTGCTTCCTTTTGTACCATCCAAGCCCGTGCTCTACTATTGTCTTCTGGCCTAGCTTGATAATACCGTCTTACCCGCTCTCGTCGCTCTCATCGCTCTCGTCACTCTCGTCACTATTGTCGCCGTCAGCGCTTTCCACCACTTCATGGTAAAGCCGACGCTCACATGGCCGTAGAGGCTCCACTCTTTCCGCAACAGTTCCAGGTAAACCCGCCGGGACAATCCTCACGCCACTCGCCGGTATCTAAATTGTACTCGGATCCCGAACCCGACTTCCAAGGATCGAGGCATGCATCCGCGCCAGGCGTGGGAATACTGGTTGAGTTCCATGTCACCCAATCCGACAATCCGACAACAGCAGGCAAGTGAGGTTAGTATTTGGCTAAGATATGTGAGGTTTTGAGACTGAGTCAACTCACCGGGATGATAGTAGCCGCAGTAGCCAGCGTCGTCCTCGTCCTCGGGTCCAAACTTTTCCTCGCAATGGATGCAAAGCCCAACTTCTTCTCCGGCTCCTCTTTCAGTTCGTCTGTCGCTTTTCTTTTCAGTTGGTTCTCTCCCGATGTCTCTTCGCTGGAGACGCTGTTGGTAGTCGTGGTTGTGAAGCTCAGGTTTTGCATGGTTTGGAGGTTTGCGACAGCGGTAAAGTCGGAGACTCAATCCTCAATTAGCGACTTCACTTCATCGGTGCCCTTGACGTGGAGAGAGAACAAGACCGCGCGGATGCTCAGGGCCGGAGCAGCGACGATTGCATCAAGGGTGTTTTGCTGTAGTGCTCGCCTTCTTGACCTTGTGGGTGCAGAATACTTTTTGCGTTGGTCATTTTCGTTGCTGGATGGTACAAAAGGGGAGAGACAGTAGAATAACGTTAACAATGCCAACGTCAGAGTCTTGCACGCATCTCATTCTCTGTGATCTGTTGGGATGGGGTGAAGAATCAATTAGATGTTTTTTCGCAAGAGAATAATGTGTGCATGAGTTTCGGTCACGGCGGAAGGGTAACTGTGATCAAAAGACGCGTCCATGGGAAAACAGACTCTTTAGTATAAGGTGGAGAGCGCGTTTCTTCCATTTTGATTGAACTTCCCGCTCTGTACGTAGCCGGCGGGGATGAGTGGAACCAATATCCAAATACATGTAACCAGACCTATCCAACATGACTGCGTGGACATTTGTCCTCCGTTCATATACTGCAGCTACCATTGTACCTTGAGGTCTCAAACCCCCAGTATTCCAAACACCATCAACATGACCTTGTAGGTTTCCAGACTCCCTTGTTTCCGCCTTGTTCCTCAGCTGCCAATACAGCAGACCAGTCACGATCTTGCTCTGCTTGCCACCTTCTGGGTTGGAATGTCGACCCTTTCATATAACACCGTAGTTGCAATACTTGTGGAAGTTCCGCGTTATGCAGCCCGGTGAATCCCGCAAATTTCCACAGCAGTCCCATCTGTAGCCAACCTCCGATTGGTTATAGAAATGACGGCAGAGTCGTTCGAAGTGCCAGCCGCTCGTGTCACGATGCCAGCATGGTGCCGTAAGGTCTTTAACCCGTTGTCCTAAGGAAACAATGCCACAAGTGGCGGTGTTAGTGGCCGTAACCAACAAAAAAGAAGTTTAAAAACAATCAAAAAAAAATCGAGGACATTATTCGTGTTGCACGGGGCCAATGGAACATACCAGGATGAAAATGGTAGATAACCTTGTCGTCTTGGGCGTTTAGGTCGTAATCTTCCTGACACTCATGGCAACGATGCAAGTCCTTCTTGGGCTTCTCCTCGGGAGCCTCCTCTCGCTTCTGCTTCACTGCGGCGGGCTGTCCGTTAAGGGCTTCAGGAGCCGATCGCTTCGAAGGGGTGGGTTCTTTGAGGGACGATTTCGGCTCGTCGCCATTCTCGGAGATGATAGAGGATACCGTGTTGCTCGGGGGCCGGCTAATGGTGGGCTTCGAAGTATCGGCGGTAGACTTGATTCCATCGGTAGTCTGCTTGTGATTTTGTGCCCTGGCATTTGGGGACAAGGCACCTTTCGGCCTGGGATTCGTGCGTGTTTCCTGCATTGTGAAAGATATGGTTCAAGAGTGTTGGTTGAAGTAGGAAAGAAGAGAAGGGCAGAAGGAGACGCAGGAGCACTCCTTTATACCCCCTATAGACTGGATTGGGATACGTGTTCGAACTCATATGTAATGCAGGAATATTTTCAAGGCAGCCGTGTATGCAGTGTTAATTCACGCCAGGTTTCCGAAGGTCTTTGATCCAGGTTTTATGACAAAGCGGTGGGTGTAGGTAGCTGCATGGCGTGCATCAAAGTTGGAAAAACCAGCAGCATGTTTTCACCGGAACGCACAGTGAAGTAGCAACGAAGTAGAGGTCTTTTTACACCAAACCTCTTAACGGTCTAGTAAATGTTTTTAATTCTTTTAAAAGTAATTCTTTTTACTGCGGCAACTAACACGCCTGAAAGGGTGAAATGAGCGGGTCGCAAGAACTGCATGTCAGGTTATTTCGTATTGGAACGTGACTTTCCCATATCCTCACTTCTCGAAATCGTATTAGAAAGTTCGCATGTGAAAGCCACGGCAGAAGACCAACCCAGCGAAAAATAATGTTGTCACCCAATTGGAAATCTGCGGGCTCTTTTCATGTTTTTGTGACTTTGTTACTGGTAGTAATTGACAATCTTACAGCCAGCAACAATCCCTAGCCATGGTACCTTGACCACATACTTACACAGCCTGTAGGAAAATGGCCATAGGGTCGTTCCATCATGGTCTCAGCTCAGTCCTCGTAACGCCAAGGTCCGGGCACATAGCTCTGGGTTTTGCAGCCCTTGTTGTACCACGAACCTTCGCAACAGTCCCATATAAATTCTTCATCAAACTTGTCGTCACGGTACCATTCGAGGTTGTCCTCAATCCACTGCAGCTCTTCCGGGTCATTGAGGTGCAAACCCATCCGACGGAGCCAGCGGGCTTCACCGTCGATGATAAGTTGCCCTAGGTGAACAATAAAGATGTAGGATTAGTGTCGAGCTAGAATGTGGGGAGATTTTATTGCCTGTGTCAGGGGAGAAAGGAGTATCTACCCCAATAATAGTAACAGTCTTCCGACTCGGTCTTGTTGTTGTACTCGGCGCCGCAATCGTCACATTCCTGTAGGCGCTACATGTCCTCTTCCTTTCTCATCGGGTAGAAATAAGCCCGAGGCATCTGGAGCTCGGAGACCTTCACTCTCGCGGGCGGCTTTGGTTCGTCATTTTTGGGTTCGGCGTAAACTGCGAATGATCTGGGGATGACAGAGCTTCCCACGCTTCCAGGCGTGTTGCGATCTGGGAGAGGTGGGTCTTCGGGGGAGAGAGGGCGTTCCTTGGGGCGACTATCCCGGCTAACAGTGGCAGTTTTACGGCGGCTACTGGAAGCAGCGGGCTTAAGAGCAGTGGACTTGGGAGCAGCGGCCTTCTTGGGAACCTGAACGGTGGTGTTCTTGAGAGCGACAGCCTTTCAAGCGGTGGAGGTCGTCTTCACAGTACGCGTGCGCTTGGCGACGGGCGAGCGCGCAGGGGAGGCAGCTCTCTTCTTGGGCATCTTGGACAGTTGCAGTATTTAGGGCAGAGGAACAAAGGATGGGTCATAGACTTGAACGTATTGGGCAGCGAAGGTTGACTGCATCAAATTCTTGCTGGATGATACTAGGCGAGGGGAGGGACTCGGAGCAATGTCAGAAGACGGCAGCCGAAAGTGTCATGGGAAGGAGCAAACCCCCATTGGCGTACACATTAGGGCACACTGCCCTGCGAAAAGAAAACGAGTCAAAGGAGGAAGGCGCGGTACTGGTCATGTAATTTGAAGGAACCTAATCTTGGGGAGGCGGTTCGTTGCTTCCCCGTAAATAACAGTACAAACTGTTTATCGTTCAGCCACCACTTCTTCCCGTCATGTGGCTTCACGCTTGAACAACAAATCCTGAACAGAAGTATCTTCCGGCATTTCTCCAAAGTCCAAAATAACCTTTTTCCAAATGGCTATCATGGCACAAGCCCCATATCCTCCTACGTCTTTAACACTTACATTTCCGACAACGATGCATTCCTAGTTCCACCGTCATTTCCCGCTTGCTAATAGTCGCGGTCAACAACTCCAGGTCCAGCCAGTCTCAAAAAAGTGCCCCTTTCCAGTGAAGAAACCTTTCGAGTCGTGCCTGCCGTCGCAGCAATCATATCTGAAGCCTTCCGGGTAGTGCATGCAATACTCCTCTGTATCGAATTACTCAGGTTCGTACTTGTCGTATAGACTCTTGTAGGAGAGCACGTTCCAAATGGCCGCATCCCGATTGATCTGGAGGCGGCCTGCGTTGATATCAAAAGTCAGCGAATGACACAGACATGGAGAAGACAACAAGGGATATAAGGTTCACTCACCGGATGACGGTGGCATTCGTTGAGCTTGTACGATGAGTGTTTTGTGGTCTTACCACACTGGGCACAGGTGGGCAGGCGGGGCCCAGCGGAGTGATTGAGGTTCTTTGGGGGACGGATGTGTTGTGAAGAGCCCCCATCGGGTTCAGACCAGATGTCGCCGCGACTCGTGAGGCGTTTTTTGTAGGGTCGCTGGGCTCTGTGAGGGCCGGTTTGAAGAGCATATTCGTGAGACCGGAACTCTCCACGAAAGTTTGTTGATCTGAGAGAGTGAGCACGGCGTCTCTTGTTAATACGGACTGTCGAGGGAGGAGTCGTCTCTCGCTGTAGACCCTCCACCTGGTGAGATGGGGCAGGGATGGATATGACCATGGTGTCAATATCTGGGGCTGCTAGCTCATCATGTAGTGCCCGTAGATCTTCATGGAACTGCATGATCTCGATTTGGCAAAATATGGGGAAGAGCTGTGACTCCATGATGAAGTATTTTTCCAAAGACGATTGGTGAAAGAGGTTGATGGTCAGGGTCTTGATGTTTGTGGTGGGAGAAAGGGAGATGAGAAAGGATTGCAATGCGGCTAGAGAGCGAAGGGTTATATCCTATGGCACTGTGAGAAAAAAGAAGGACATCCGGACATCCTCAAAGAAATATTACAAGGGTTGCAGGTTGGTATAGGCTGCAAGTCCGGAATATATGCACCATTTTATTTGAAAACCGCATGGAAATGTGCCCCGTGCTCCGCCTCGCATGATGAATGATCGGACGGAGCTTCCAGTCTTTCCGCCAGGAACCGTTCATCTTTCACCTCGGTACGTCGCTACTAGAACTCCGATTTCTACTACGTTGTGGCCATGGATCTCCCAATTTCCCAAACAAAGATTGGATTCGGCTTCGACTTCAAGTATGTACGCTACTTGAGCTGAAGAAACGGATGGCTGTAATGAAAGAATTCGAGAATTTGGAATTGGGAAATCGCAACACCCAGATATTGACATATGGCACTGAATACGAATTATCGCACAACGGACAAAGAGATTTCATCCGGACGTGTATGCATGCCATGAGAAATTGAGAATGCAAGTGCTAAAATAAAAGGCATTACAAATAATGGAAACGCACAACTCGGAATTTTCCCCGCAAAGCACACCAAAAAGTCAGCTTGAACACTCGTTGACTTCAACCCGTTTCTCAACTCTTATGTCGATATATTCCCTAGAGCAACATGAGTTCCTGACTCAAGCTCAACTATATAAGCTTCTTGCAAGATTTTGCTTGTTTTGTGTAGCGTAGAAAGATGTGGTGTTCGCGGAAAGAGCAGACTTGGAAAATTGGTTACAGTGGTCTTACAAGGGATTACAGTGGTCTTACAAGGGATTACAGTGGATCAAAAAACCACGCTCGCCCAGGGCAGTGTGCCGGACGCAGAATGTTCCCGCTAGCATTTTCATAAGAACAAGAAACAGAAAATTACCTAGGTATGCAGGGAAAAGCTGTGGTCTGGCCGCACCATGGAGACCGGCAAAGGTGCCCGCTGGGGATATAAGCAGCTGATTCAAGGGATCTGCCACCAAGCAATTGGTGGTATATGGCCGAGTGGTGTAATGTAGCACACGTCCAGTAAGCGAGTCCCTGTCTTGCGTCCAGGTTAACCTAGGTAAGGCAAGTTGATGTACATAAGTAACCGAAAGATAAGTCCGGGTTCGACTCCCGGCAGTGGCAACTTAAACATTTACCAACACCTTCCTTTCTTTCTCCTTCCTATTCATCCCCTCTTCATAAGTATTTTTCTTCTTTTTTTTTGGCTCTCCCAAAAGCCGCATATGCATCTACTAGTTTTCGACTTGTGTTTGTGGAAGCAAGGACGGATCACAACATGCGGAGAGGAACGGGTTGGGGACGACTACAAATTGCGGGGTGGGTTGCTCGTCGTCAAATTTAACTTTGTGGCGCCGGTTCTGTGCGGGGATGACCCACGTCTGTGCCCTCTTTCATCACGCACTAACAGCTTGCCTTGGTCAACGCCGATGACCAACAAACCCAATCTGGTGGATGAAACGAATACGCTGGGCATCAAACCTAACAACGAGCTGCAAATCTGCAAAAAGCACGATGTACAGGAACCCAGGTTTGTCGTGTGCACGATACCTCTGTTTCCTGCTGATCGAACATTTGGACCCTAACCCTCATTAACACACAACACCAGCTTTCCCATTTACCCTCGGTCATTCGACGGGCATTCGCGTGATTTAAACCAATGAAAGAAGCCGCTTGAGTTCAGCCAAATATTCCCACGATAACCTCAAGCTTTCTGATCTCCCTCACTTTTGACCTTTTTCTGACCCTCGCCATCCTCTTGACCCTGGCCATCCTCCTCGCTTTTATCCTGGTCTTCATCCTCATCCTCATTCTCCTCGCTCTCGTCAACCTCTTCCTCCGTCTCTTCCTTTTCGGTCTCAGCCTCCGCATCAGACCCCGGGTACTTAGTTCTCTTCCCGTCTGCGACACGATGCTTTCCTCGCCTACAGCCCTGATTCGCTTCGTCCCCCAATGCATCACATCAAAGAAAGCTGAATCCATCCGCATAGTCTTTCCGCACGACTTTGATTGATCTCCCTCCTCGAATAGTTCGTCGCATTGTACGCAAATTTGCATCGTAGTAGCTTTCCTCTTCTTTGAACCGTCATCTACCTTTGCAGGATTTCCCGCAGCGGTAGTTGCAATTCCTAGGGGCTTCTTGACCATGAGTGTCGCTATGCGCGACTTGAAGGCGCCATCCCCAGTAAGCGCGCGGAGAACGGCGCGGACGGTTTCTTCAGGCGCCAAGGCGATGGCCTTCACGAGCTGCTCATCGTTGAGCTTTGGTGGGCGAAGGGGTGGCATGGTGGTGAACGGTAAAGCAATTGAAGAAATGCAATAACAGTGGTGTATAAAAGAGGGACAGGCAGTTTCAAAAACAATTTGGTGGTCTGGGTAAAAGGAAAAGGACGGCACAGGTGGTGAGCAGAGCCTCCATCTTGGCATGCAAAGGACCCAAATGAAAGGTTACATTGAAGGGTGGGCTGGCTGCCCCTGGCTCCCACCTTAGAGGTAGTGCACACTAGAAGCCCTAACCCTTGGTCACCCACCTTCTCTTCTTCTGGCTGACGGTTCGACTCTTCCCCAATCCAGTTTGCACGCTCGCAATTATTGAAACAGAAGATTGGAAAACACAGAAAAGATGAATGATCGCTTTAAGAACTAGAATAAACTATCACAGTGCGCTATGGCCCTCGTAGTACTTTATCATCTCCTTAAGCACCCACCTAGTCCGCTCAGTCCAAACCCACGACGGTCATTCGTCATTGTACCCATACTTGTAGTTCTGTTTATGTCTACCTCCGACCGTAAATTCCTTCTAATGCCGTATCACACCAATGTAACGTAATACCTCCGTGTATATAGCCTTCCGTGGGAGCATCACTGCGGGGGATTAACCATATGCCTGTTGAGATTCCCCCAATTACCTCGGACTTGTTGTACCTTCTGCTTGTTATGAACTGCTTCACCCACTTCAGTCTCCTCGTCCTCCTCACCATTATCATCCTCCTCATCATCCTCCTCATTATCCTCCTCGTCCTCAACGTTAGAACTCGCGTCGTCCTCACCAGGGAACTTGGCCCTCTAGCCATCTGCAGCCCGGTGTTCGCCCATCACGCATCCGTTGTTCACCTGGCTTTGGCTTCCCCTCTTGTAGCAGCAAGGGTAGACGAACCCTCTCGGGTTCATGCTGCGGCAGAACTCGTTGTCTTGGATATCCCAAGGGGAGATGGGCATTTCGGACCAAGAAGGGTCGAATTCGTCCAGTTCCATGTCGTCTGTTGTGGGGGTTGTGTTAGTCGGTCCATTTTCTGGGCCAGTTTGTGGGGGACTGGGGGAAGGGGACTAACATGGATGATGCTGGCACGTCTCGGACTCATCTCCCAGCTCGAAGGGTTCATCGCACTGGATGCAGATCTCAATGTTGGAGGCTTCGCCTGCTGTGGTGATGGAGTACTTGGTGTAACGGTTATTCGGTATCAGATACTTGGATGTCAATAGCCCAATCTTGTGGTTGATGATGGTGTGGTATCCAGGTGTGGGACTGTGATACTTGGGGTCGGGTCCAAGGATATGAACTCTTTATTCTGGACTCAAATGTCCAGATGTCCTCACGGTTATCCATGTAGCTTACATAACTTTGGTTGGATCGTAACACCCGACTCCGAGGAAACACGTGGAGAAAGTGGAATGAACTCACCTGGATGATACCGGCATGTCAAGGACTCGTCCCATTCCTGGAACGACGACTCGCACTGAACACATATCTCTATCTAGAGGGCCTTTCTCTTCCCCTGCTTGGAGCTCTCTGCACCTGAGGCTCCCCAGTGACCTTGTGCCGGAGCGTATACCGGAGCGTAGGTGTGTCCAGAGCCGCTTTGTTCGGCCGGTTGATCATCTTTGCTCTCGACGTCCAGAGGAATTTTTGCAAGCATGTTTGCGATGCGCACCATAAGCGCTTCTTCGGCGCACAGCGCTTTCAAAACTGCCCTGATGGTGGACTCGGGCGCGATGTCGATCACCGCCACAACGGATTCACCTCGGGCCATGGTGAAGAAGTCTTGGAGGTAGCTACAGGTAGTATGTGATCTGGCTGGTGTTGTAGGTTGTTCAGTCGTTGTATGGAAAGGGAAAGGGCGATGGTCATTTCGTTCGCAGGTTTGAATTCGGAGCACCCTCCACGCACGCCCAAAAACCATCAGATAAGCACAAGTGACCACAGTCGCGAATCTTCCTCCAAATCAATTACAGAAAAGACTTATCTGTAGTATTCACGCCTGATTGAAAAGCCATAATTGCTTCATTCCTTTAAAATAAGCGTGGTTGGCTATTTCTTGGGAGTCGACCTAGAAGTACGGGTAAGTACCTATTAATATTCAACCATCTACTATTCGTCACTCGGAAGACGAATGATCTCTTAAAAGCCTTGACCATCATTGGGAAAGCCTGTAAACCAAGGTTAGAATAAAAATTGGGTATATCTAGCCTTATAGCTTGCTTTTGTTCTCAAGTGACCTTAAAGAGTGTACTTTCATGGGCGTGTTTGTAGGGTTTTTGGGCGTGCGTGGAGGGTACCCCTTGAATTCGCTTTGGTGGCTTTGCTCAGCCCTTATCAACCGAAGAGTTTCCACCGCCAAACGCCAGATCCGCGTTTGTGCTACAGGTTCCGTCATATACTGGCGGCTCGCCCACTGGGCGATTCGATTATAAGTGTTGAGCCGCGTTTACGCTATGGGCAACACATGATTTATACTGGCAATAGGCCTCGGTTTGCCCTCGGATTAATGGTTTTGGTGGACAGTTAGGGCATTGCTCTTAATTTTGTATGCTAGACTCACCGGTGCGGCACGTCTCATGCCCTACGGGAGGCGGAAGTAGACGTTAAAAATAACAACAACAACAACAACAACAACAACAACAACAACAACAACAACGACAACAACATCGTTCTATTACCATTGTGTGCCTGACAGTCTTCGTTTTCTGCACATCTATTTTTTCGGTCTCGAGTCCTACTTCTTCGAATCTTTCTTGTCATGGGCGGCTTCCTGTTACGATCCAATCAGAGAATC